TTTTTGATGGCTGCATAATATTCCATGGTGCATATGTGCCACAAAAAATAAGAAGTTTTTTTAAAGTAACATTTATAATAGCTACAAAAACCTAGGAAAATATTAGCAAAAAAATTTTCAAAATCTTTACAATGAAAGCTGTAAAATATCATTTAGTAAAATTAAAGAACCTAAATTGAAACATTGAAAACATTTAAAAAATATTTTTCAGTGAAATACAAATAACTATTACATATGAGAAATCATTATATACCCATTAATCGGAATTTTTTTAAAAGAGAATTGTAATGCTTCTTGCTGGTAGAAAAACAGAAAAAAATACTCCCATTTTGCCACTGAAAACTGAAGTACTATAATTTTAGGGGAAAGAAATCTATCTTTATGGAAAGCATAAATACAAATCTTGTTTAAAAATATAGAAGTCGCACTCCTAGTTATCTATTGAATAAAATTAAAAGTATCCTACATGAGGAAATGGTGCAAGAATAAATTCACAGCATTGTCATGGTACTGATGTCACTGGTTAAGGAAAAGGCTAGATACATTATGGTGTACCCAAAACAAATAAATTAAGCTAAATAAACAAACATGAATTAAACTTCTGATTCCAGGTAAGATTGTCACAGACAAGATTCTATCTTCTGTCTTAAACTAGCAAGAAGAAAAAAGCATATTTAACATGAATTTTCAAATACAGGATGATGGGAATGTAGGATAGTGACACATCACAGGAGAGTGATCTCTGAGAGAGAAGAAACAAATGAGTTAAGTCCTGTAATTACCACAGCTTACTGCCTAGACAGTTTCCAGGTGCCCGTGCAGAGGGAAACACAGGAGTATGGTGGTCTCCTCGAATTTAAACAGAGTCAGTGCTTTGTGGAGACCCACATGGTTAGATTGATAAGACAGAGTCCCAGCTGCCCCTTTCAGGCACTGGAGTTTTCTCTACAGCTGTGAAGACAGCAAATTCCAGAGATCTGCAGACAGTCCCACCTAAATCGCTAGGTGAGGATCAATTAGTTGGATTGCAGAAAACTACCTTGAGTCTGGGGGTATAAATACCTGAAATGGATAGCTGGAGTATTTCTCGAAGGTCACAGAAAGTCAGGAATGGTAGGATTCTCTCATCAACCAGAGTACAAAAAATAGACACTGGCGTTGGATAGAGAACTCAAACCAAAGAAACACTTATGCCCAGACAAAAACACATATGCAAAGCGCTTTTACTTATATTCAACAATATTTGGAAACAATCCAAATGTCCTGCAGCTGGTTAGTGTATAAATGAAGTGCTGTTCGTCCGCACAGTGGACCCCGCTACTCAGCAGAGGAAAAGGAAGGAACTGCGGCTGAAGCCAGCCACATGGATGAGCCTCAAGTCCTTTATGCTAACTGAAAGAGGCCAGAATCAAAATGCTACATATGGTATGATTCCATTTTCAAGACTTTCTGGAATAGCCAATACAGTAGGGATAGAAATCAGATCATTCGGTGTCAGTGGTTGGAGGTGGGAGAATTACTGAGGACAAAATGGCACAGAAAAATGTGTGGGGCAGGAATGAAGTTGTTTTACATATTCGTATTTGTCATGGTTACACAATCGTATATGTTGGCTGGAACTCAGTGAACTGTACACTAAAATGATTGAATTTTACTACATTTAACCTATACTGCATCATAAAAAATGAAAAAAAAGTAGATAGTATTTGATGGCTTGGAGCAATTGCCGTAAGCTATCTTTAGTAACAAGATAGGGACAACAGTTACAAAATAATATATTTCTTATAAAATAAACTACCACAGAAACACATATAATCTTAAATATGTATGTATCTACTATGCATATATCTGTCTGTGACTATATAACCATAGCTGAAAGTGGAAAATAATTAAAATGAGTTGCCTATTTCAATGGAAATTTAACAGAGTAACTGGGAATGGGAAGGTAGAAACCAAGCAAAAGAGGAAGGTAGGAAATCCGAGACTTAATTACACATATATACACAAAAAAACTACATAATGTCAACATATCCAGCCTGGCCAACATGGTGAAACCTCCGACTCTAGTAAAAATACAAAAACAAAAAAATTAACCGGGTGTGATAGTGTGCGCTAGTAGTCTCAGCTACTTGGGAGGCGAAGGCAGGAGAAATGCTTGAACCTGGGAGGTGGAGTCTGCAGTAAGCATAGATCACACTACTGCACTCCAGCCTGGGCAACTGAATGAGACTGTCTCAAATAAACAAATAGTTTTAAAGGCTGTAATCTATATGTTTAAAGCTCTAAGAACAAAATGAACTAGAACTCCACTTTCTTAAATATCAGAACTATTAGGCTGCCTCTAACTCTCTCAGAAATTTCCATTTCACTTTCCTTTCTCTTCCTGTTCCTTTTTTTTTTCCCTCCTCTTCTGCACTTGTAACTTAAAACCACAACTGATTCTCTTTAAAGTTTGATAACAGCAATCATGGGTAAAGAGATGTTGTCCGTTATCCAGATATATATATATATGTATGTATATTTGGCCCTTTCTAAAATGAGAAAGAGTACGTTTCTGTTCATCACACTCTGGGTAAGATCAGCTAGCTACCCTAGTTTTATCAGTCATATTGTTCTATTTCACTCTTCATCTCACTGGAAAAGAAGAATGGGTCTTTCCTCATTTAACACAGGGGCTCTATTATAATCTTTTTAATGCAAATCACAATTACATAGTAATTATAAGATGGCAAGAGTCTGAAGGTGAATCATAAGCATATTTTCTAATTGTCCTATCTGGTGTTATTCCTAGTCTTATTAGAATGAACAACAAATACCTACTAATGCTTATGGAGCTCTCACTATATGAAAAACCTTCACAGGTGTTATTTCATTTAATCCTCATGAGAACTCTACAGGCAAGTTATTCTCTATTTTCTATCTAATAAAACTGAAGTACGCTGCTATTTAGACACAGATGCAGCATCAACCAGCACAATCCTGGGCAGCCCATGCTCTTCCCTAACTAGTTATGGTAGCGCCTACATCAGACCACCATGACACAGCATCATCCATTTGGGAATCACTGCCTGGGCTCAGGGCTTCATCATCTCTCACTGGTATTTCTTCACCACATCCATGTTTTTTCAATCCAGTCTTTCATCCTCTCCATTCCCCCCATCTCAGCCAGAACAGCCCTTTAAAACAAATTTGATTGGTCACATGTTTTAATATGACTACCTGGGTCACCATCATCCTGCAGACACATTTTCAATTCCTCAGCACTCTCTAGAGTCCCCTTCCTTCCTCTCCTGTTTCATCATTTCTGTTCTTCCTGTCTAATCACACACGTCTTTCATCTAAAGTGACTCATCTCTCTGCCCTCTTTTGGGATTCTTTCCTCTAAATAGGACACAATCCCTGCCACCTCTCTGGTTCTGCTTTCTCTCCATATTTCATTACTTATGGCTTTCTGACTGCTTTTCATTTCTCTCCAGTACTCAGTTCGGGAGTCATCTCTTTCAGTAAAGCATCTCAAATCCATCTAAGTCACCCTCCATCCCTCTTAAAGCATTCATCAGAACCGATTGCAATTCCTTGCTTATCTACTTCAGCTACTAGACTCAGACCACCTCAAAGGCAGGGATCATTGGCATCCATCTTTGTGCATCCAAGTATTACTATATATGCTATATATTTAATAATTGGCTTGAACAGAGAAAAAGAAGCAAAACATTCCATGAGTTTAGAGAAAATGTGCTGTTAATATATAGTTCCAATGATTTATAGTCCCTTTTCTATTTTAAAATTTAAACTTAATATAGTCTGCCACAAAATGTTAAAGAAATGAGTCATGGCACAAAAGCAAAAATTAAGAACTTATTACCTTTTAAACAATGAACTTGATTTATGGCTGTAGCCGACAGATGAATGATTCAATTCTCCCACCCCATCCCCCAGCACCATCACCCACTACCACCAACCTCAATTTCTAACGGATGTAATTAAAAATATGATCAACATTTATTTTTGGTATAATTCTTTGGAAGTCTGAAAGAAGAAAGAAATAGGATAATGTTCAGTGAGGCTGAAAGATGATCTACAGTATAAGTGCAGTTGTGCTATCATAAGGTTGGTCAGGTGTGGTGGCTCACTCTTGTAATCCCAGCACTTTGGGAGACCAAGGTAAGAGGATTGCTTGAGGCCAGGAGTTCAAGGTCAACCTGGGGAACATGGGGAGACACTGTCTTTACTTAAAACACATACATTTAAAAAGTAATGTTAATGTGATGCTAACATCTATGGCGAATGACATCGGATGATAAATGTAAACAAAACAAAAGAAAAAAGAGAATAAATCCTTTCTGTTTTATTGGAGTTTCACAGGTGCTTATTGGAATACCACAGGTAGTTATGGTTCCTCTATTTTAAGAGTAAACACTGGAACGATGGTTAAAAATATATGCGTGTAAGAATAAGACTGTTTGTAATAAAGAAACCCGAAGAGTGATTAAATTGCATTCAAGTATTTGTAGATTTATTTTACAGATAGTGCTAAATCTCTGTTCTCAGTTCCCAGAAAGGAGATTAGACTATTTTTCTTCCTGTTTTGAAAAAAATTGGATTGCTCTAAAAAGAAGTCAAGCATACTGTAAATGATTCCAGGAAACTTGAGAAAATGATCGGAAAAGTTTTCCACCTCTTTATGCCTTTAACCCAACCTTATAAAAATTGCAACAACAAAAATGTTGGTGATTAAAACAATGCTCCTTTCAGGGAACTCACTTACCCACCACTTGGTGACTTGGTCAAGAGGTTTTAAAGCAAGACAAACCAGAGTTCCATGTATATAATCAACAGGGAAAAAATGAAAATACATGGTATCGTCATTCCACAACATGCAAGAAAGAAAACTAATTCTTGTAAAAGGAAGAAAATGTCCTACCATGATTTATGTTTGCTGTGTGATCAGCTGCGGGAAAGTGGTACTCTCCATTATTCAATCCTTTCACCAGCTTCCAGTGTGAATCTTCTGTGAGAAATGGCTCCCAGCCACAGAAATCAGACTCAAAGTCACAGGTGAGATGCTTTACTGTTACACGTGGGAGAGAAAAAAGGTGAGCAGAAATGAAGTAAGGGCATGCAGGGAAACACTGCTCTACATTAGCTAAACATCTTAGGAGGCCAGCACAATTATTCTGCATGGAAGTGAATGTTTTCTGATGATCAGAATAGCTTTCCTTTATCCAGACCCACACAATGTCCCATGTGCTGTGTAAGCCATGACCCTTCCACATGCTTCTATCCGTAAGTCTGATGCATTTTATTCTAGTTGGCCATCTCTATTGTATTTAATGATGCAAGGTTGAACTACAGAGCTTTTCAGGGAGTAACTAATTTACTTGCCTAGTATAAACCTGCTGAGATGGTAGTTTAAAGAAAAAAAATCCACAGGGAAGAGGGGAAATTTAAATTAATTCTGGATACCCAGACAACTTGAGGTCAGCAGCTCAGTGTTCATTTTATTATTCTATCCTAACACTTTCTAAAAAAAAATACCTAGCCATTTGGAATTGCAGGTAAATTAGATATTCTGGACTAAACTTGTCTTTTTTTTTTCATTTTCTTTCTTTTTTTTTTTTTGGAGGTGGAGTCTCGCTCTATTGCCCAGGAAGGTTGGAGTGCGGTGGCGCAATCTCAGCTCAATGCAACCTCCACCTCCTGGGTTCAAGCAATTGTCCTGCCTCAGCCTCCCAAATAGTTGTGATTACAGGAACATGCTACAGTGCCGGGCTTTTTGTATTTTTAGGAGAGGCAGTGTTTCACTATGTTGGCCAGTCTTGTCTCAACCTCCTGACCTCAAGTGATCTGCTTATCTTGGCCTGTCAAAGTGCTGGGATTACAGGCATGAGCCACTGTGCCCTGCCTGAGCCTCTGCACCTGACCTGACCTGTCTTCTCTTAATACATAACTAAAAGGTTGCCAAGTACTGAATTTCCTCCATTTATCATAAAATAACTGGTTCTAGAGAAAGTTGGGGTTTGGAGCATGCTTTGTAGCATCTTTCCCGGCTTTGACACCAAATACATGCGAGAAAACGAGATAGTTTCATAAAACTGGACAGTAAACTAGAAAGTCTAATAGCTTGATTTGTGCTTTCAAGAAATTCGTTCTTTATGTGCTTAAATTTCCTTTTCCTATAAGAATCATAGTATCAGACTATCTTAGATAGTACTTTTGGGGATAAATTAATACAATTAATTTAAAAACATTTCTAAATATTCCTCTTTATGCTGAGGCACTTTTAGAAGAGTGAGGGAGAAAAGGAGAATTAAAGTGTTTATCAGAAAACATCCAAAGTTTTGAAAGAATTCCTAAGATCTTCATGCCATTATCTTTAATAACAATAAAAACAGCCATACTACCACTGAGTTCCAAGTATGTGGCAGGTATTTTACAAACATTAATCTTAATTCTTATACTTTACCTAGTAAATATCATTTCCCAAAAGAGAAAACTGGAATTCAGAACATGAAGCAACTTGCCTATGGTAAATTTTAGTAAATGGAACATCTAGACTTTGAACCTGACACCAAAAGCTCATACTATGAGGCCTCCATAAACCAGGAACTCTTTCATAATTAAAAAGACTCCATCACCATGGGTTTGCTTCTGCTTCTGACCATTATGTTCAACTTGTAAATTTTAAATAATATGGCCAATGTCACAACAAATAAGGTCACTACATCTTAATAATCAAAGCATCTTCAAATCTCTGTAAATAGAGACACCTGATTTTATGACCACATATTTTATCACTGATATGTCAACTCTAAAAACACCAAACTGCAGCAAGTAAATGAAAATGCCACTTCCAATTTCTCTATATGCAAATTGAACCTTTACAGCTGAAAGCAATGCTTGCTAGACAGTCATAGAAAAGACAGTGGGCCTTCCATTTCTGTGGGTTGCTTGTTGCAGATCCAACTAACCATGGTTCAAAAATATAGTAATAGCAGGATGTGTAACCTGCAGATACAGGGGCAGACTTTTCCCTGGGCCAGACTTTTCTCCAGGGACTTGAACATCCATAGATTTTGGTATAGCATTTCTTTCATTACAAATGAATATTATTTTTTCCTCTAGATGGATTTCTCTAAAAATAAAAACAAGTAAATTGACTACAGTATAATAATTAAAACATATTGCACATAGCCTAATGGTGCACCAATACGACAAGGAAGGGCAGTTTGCCCATACACCTAGCTGTAAATCTATTACTCTTCTCAGGTCTGTCTACACAATTTATAGGATATGGCTGTGGATAAAACATTACTTTCCATGGGAGAGTGTCTTTTATTTTTCCACCGTCTTGAGCACTGATAACCTAGCTGTGACTTTCTCCTTGGGCATTCACAGAACCTCTGGTCCAGTCCCTTGGTCCTCTGTGAGCTCTGCCACCTTCTAGGCCACCTCCCAAATTTTCTGTCAGTTGGTGGGGTGCGGGAATATTAAGACTCAAAGTACGTGTATAACCACTGAAATGTGCTTCAGAGTTCCAAATTCTTGGCTGTGGATTTGACCAAGGAATTCTTCCATCTACCTACGAGGGTACCCCCAATTCCTAGAACACACTTCCCTGGAATAAAAAATCTTCCATTGGTAGAGTGACCACATACCTGGCCGGGCCTGGCCGAGGGTAGCCTCAGTGCATGCCTATTGTCCTAGCATAATAATTACTGCCTCTTTTTTTCCCTCTCTCGGTCCCTGTTTGGGTAATAAATTCAGTATTGCACTGTTACGGCAGCAAACTATGCATTGCTACACAAAGGAAGCAAGTCCATGCAAACAGCAATTCACTGCAGATAACTGCTGAAGTCCACATCCTAATTCCCCCAACAAGGCAATGCTGTGAAATGGCAATGAGATCAATGAGCGTAAAAATGGAAAGTACTACATGACCGATGCACCCCACATCCTTACACAGACTCTTCACAATTGAACTGGTCGCTCAACCGCAAAGATGTAAAGAAAGAAGCTCTCAAGATAAAAGCAACTTTTGATTGTATACGTGTTAAAATTTGGTTTTAGGACAAAAGTTCAAACCATTTCTTTCATTACCTACATGTTTTATCAGTTAAAAAATGTCAATCACTGTGTTTTTTACAGAACACTACACACCATCGTCCTTTGAAAAATGAAAATTAGCTTTCAAAATCCATCACTGTAAAGATTTGTGAAAGCAACATGGTGCAACCACCTCTGTAAAAATCTTGGTGAACCGCTTTGCTGTTTTTACTAATATGTTCCGGTACACATAAAAGCATATTTTTTAAAGCTAAAAGTTCAAGGACGTCACTGTTCTGTAAAACATAAGTCAAATTCTGATAACATAAATTGAAGCTCTTCCATTAATATCTCCCCTATGTAGTTCAAAAACTTTACAGTGAACTTATAAATATCTGAAGAAAGCCAGGAGAGTCAAATGCATTCTGGCAATTATTAAATGCTTTATCATACTGTATGTGCTAAATGTAAATACTTGCAGAATCTAAAAAACATCTATTCATGTTATAAATAAAGTGCTTTCATTATAAACAATAACTTTGATTACTTGGTTGCTTTTATTTTAACTTTCTGTGATTATAGAATACACTTCACTATCTCTTAGCACTGTGTGGAATATGGTGCTGTTCACAATTTTACTCAGAGTTCATCATTTAAAGTAATATTTTAAGATTATGACAAAGCTTCATCTTGCATATTTAACCACTGAAGCATATGAGCAGACAAGAAAAAATTTCATTGTGCAGCTGAGAAAAATTCTGGATCATGAAAAGTAAAATATTTTATGAATCCTCCAGAAGTTAATCAGCTCTCTGTAAAATAAGAAAAAAAGCTATGTATGGGAAATGAATGGGGAATATTTCATTTAATGAGAATACATTACATTCTAACAGGAATACATTATAAATATTTTGTTAGTATGTGTTGGAAACCCACACAAATAATTGCTACACTAAATATTTATATATTGGTATTTCCTTTCCAATACCAATAAAGTGTTTTAGCATTCCACATTTTTTTTAATATAAAAGACATCTAGAGACAATATCACAGTAAAAACTAATGCACTGTACAAAATCTTTAGTTTAAATTTCTTTCGACTATTATACCAATTTCCCCTTTGAAGTTACACAATTCATATTAGAATTTAAAATTATCTTAAAAGTCCTATAATTTTAAAAAATCATTTTTTTCCATGGAATTTCTTTAATAATTTTGATTTGAACATAGATCTATCATACCAACTTTTCTGGAACACAGTGAAGTAGATTTTATATATATATATATTTCCTATGTGAGTTATTGAAAATTTTATATATAAATACAAATGTGTATTTTATAGTGGTAAAATAGACATGACATAAATTTAACATTTTAACAATGTTTAATGTAAGGTTCTGTGGTCTTAGGTACATTCCCATTGTTGTACAATGATCACCACCATCCATCTCCAGAACTTTTTCATTCCCAAACTGAATCCTACTAACCAATAACTTCCATCTCCCCTCCCCTTAAACCCTGGCAACCAGCATTTTACCTTCTGTCTCTATGAATTTGCCCACTCTAGGTACCTTATATAAGTGGAATCAAACAGTATGTGTCCTTTTGTCTCTGGCTTATTTCACTTAAAATAATGTCTTCAAGGTTCATCCATGTTGTAGCGAAGTGTCTGAAAACGATATCTATTTCATGTATAAACTGTTCAGGGACCCAATGTGTATCTTTGGACATGTTTGGCATGTTGTATTTTAATTATTTTGATAGAAATTTTAAAAAACATATTGCATGTATATTTATTACTTTTTTAAGCTTTATTGATGTATGATTGATGAATAAAATTGTAACTAAGGCACACAATGTAATGTTTTGATATATATATATATATATATATATATATACACACACATAGTGAAAGGATTATCATAGTAAAGCTAATTAGCATCATTTCATTATATAGTTACCTTTTGTGTGTGTGATGAGAACATTTCAGACCTACTCTCAGCAAATTTCAAGTATACAATACAGTGTTATTAACTATAGTCACCAGGCTGTACACTAGACCCCCAGAACTTACTGATCTTGTAAATAAAATTTTGTATGTTTTGACCAACACCTCCCCATTTCTGCCAGGCCTCAGCCCTGGAAAACTGCCATTCTACTCTCTGTTTCTACAAATTCACCTTTTTTAGAATCCATGTGTAAGTGAGATCATGCTGTATTTGTCTTTCTCAGTCTGGGTTATTCCACTTTGCATAATCCCCTCCAGGCTCATCACTGTTGCAAATAGGATTGTTCTCTTTATTATAACTGAATAATATTCCATTGTGAGTACATATACATTTCACACACACACACACTTATACACACACACACACACACACGCACACACACACACCACTTGTTTGATCCATTCTCAGAGACTTCAATTGTTTGGGTTAGATATTGTGAATAAAACTGCAATGAACATGAGGGTGCAAATTTATTCTCATCTTAACTACCCTCATTTAATACAGGATTATGTTAATAAACATCCACAATCTATTGTTTGGTATTATGGTGATGCTTTTAAGGACTAGCAAAGCAATGAGAGTTTTTGCTTCTACCCTGAGAGAACTCTGACTTGTCTGTCTTTCATTTTTATCAATTTTTTTTAGATGACATCTGTTTCTCCCCCTAGCTGTCTTCCTTCCTGAAGCCTCTTTGGTACAGTGGTTTGCAAAGTTTCATATACAGACAAGTCACCTGGGACCTTGTTCCATGCAGCTTCTGGTTCTGTAAGACTGGGTCAGGGCCTGGGGTTCTGCATTTCACTAAGTTTCCAGGTCATGCTGATGCTCCGGTCCACATAGTTTGCTATAGCAGCAAAACTGATAGGCCCTTTTTGTTAACTGCTTTTGAAAAGCCATTGGGCTGGAGGCTATGTTATGCCATATATTAAAATAATACCTAAAAGTAAGGGCAACTTGATAATGAGAGAAGACCTGAGTAAGTATGCCTTTGGGGAAAAGCACACTGACTGTGGAATACCAACTGACAATCCTCACGAGTTCATTTTTACTCATTCACCAGAATATTCCTGGTGCTATTCAAACCGCCTGCACAGCCATACCCTCCTAGAGATTCGTTCTAAAGTGTAAAAAAAAGAAAAAGATATAAAGGTATTTTTCTGGTGCTTCATGAATGGGGAAGAACTGTTTATGAAAAAAACTTGGTATTACAAATGTTGATAGAAAAATTTTAAAACCAATTTGTAAAATACAAATATATACGTATGTGTAAAATGTTTCAAAGTGGTTTTAAATTTCAAAAGAAAAGCCTCTCTTATTTTGTAAGAATATGCATGTGTCTATATGCACAAATATATTAAATACTTCAATGCAGCAAATAGTATAAATTTCTATCAATTTGAATAATTCAAATCTATATAAATAATCTCTTCACAGCAGAAATAATTGTATAAATATTTACATGAAACACTCAGTTTGGTATCAAATACATGAATACACATATATACGGCATGCAGTATGGCTTTTTAGGACATATTCCCTCTATTGAGTCAGTCTCAATCATGTAAACATGACAGGCTTTCTTTGGACAAATGAGGCTACACTATTTAAAAACTTAAAAGACTAATAAAATGCTGTTTTTGTTGAGAAACACAATAACCCATTTATGTACTCACCCAAAGAAAATAGCAGAATGGTATCAAGATATGCTGAATTGGAAAAATGTCATAAAGATAATCAATGAAACTTGAATAAATGAAGATAAATAAGAAAATATGTCAAAAATCAAATGCTAAATAATTTTCAAAAGGTAAACATAAAGAATGATTTACTATGGGGAAAACAATGGAGGGAAAAAAAGCTAAGCTTCCAAATATACAAGTGGGCTGGGCACAGAAGCTTGCGCATGTAATTCCAGCACTTTGGGAGGCCAAGGCAAGTGGATCACCTGAGATCAAACGTTCGAGATTGGCCTGGCTAACATGGTGAAACCCCATCACTACTAAAATACAAAATGAGCCGGGTGTGGTGGCGCATGCCTATAATCCCAGTTACTTGGGAGGCTGAGGTAGGAGGCTCTCTTGAACCTGGGAGATGGAGATTGTAGGGAGCTGAGATCCTACCACTGCACTCCAGCCTGGGCAACAAAGCAAGACTCCGTCTCAAAAAAAAAATATATATATATATATATATATATATATATATATATATATATATATATACACACACAAAAGGAAACAAAGGAAAAATACTTTCCTTCAGTTACTGATATTAAGAATAGAAACTGTTAGAAAGATAAGTTTCCCCAATTGAAATGAACCAGACTAACTGTAAAAAGATTAAATAAAACATAGAAAGAAACTTGACATATATTGGAGCACATAAATAGTTCTTTCACTGTTCGTTTTGAACAAAAGACAAGAGTCGCCCAAAAAATCTGTTCAGCTCATATTGATTAGCTGATTATTTGGTTTAAAGCTAGGAGACTGAGATATTAACTGAACTGCTGTTGATGAACACAGCAGAAGAGGATTTTAGCCTTACTTTCTCATCTCTTCTCTCCCCTGTCCCTCTGTGTTGCTCTTAATAAAATCCTAGTTTCTCAAGAGAAACCTATTATGTAGAGCTTTTCACTTAAAAGGTGGCATTTATCTTATTATAATATTTTCCCCTCTGCTCAACAAAACATCTCACTAAAATAAAACACTGCAGTGAAATAAATGTCAAATTTTTAATATTTTTTAAAAGCCACTTGTTTGTAATACAGAAATTGGATTCATTTCCTTGGAATTCATGTTTTCTAAAGAGACACAGGGATCTCAGTTGCTAAGTTACCTCATATGAGAACCATCCTGTGGATTGTAAATTAAACTATATTTTTGTTGAAATATGACTATGCTTGAATAGTAATGGGATCTCTCATCATCACTTGCATCAAAGACTCTTCAGAAAAGGCCTGAAAGAAAGGTTGCAGCACTTCTGCCCTCCCAAACGCCAGACATGGCTGAAGAGATTTCTACAGTCATCATGGCTGCCCAGGAGGAAGGGCTGCCCTCCTCCTATTTGCCCCTCCCTGCTACAGCTTCTGAGATGATTGGCTAGAGAGGAAAAAAGCATACACTTAATACAAGTTAGCAAGCCATACTCTATGTCTCCAAGGGGAATGTACAAAAAAGTTCCCTCTCCCAACCATCTTCTCTTTAATCAAAGCACACATGTTCACGCACCCAGCCAACAGTTATCACAACTATTCATTTGTTGAATAAATAGGTGTTGCAGTCTTTGCAACAAGAATCAAAACATTCAGTTAAAATAGAGATCCCTGAAGGAATAGTGCTAATAGTTTCAGAGTGATAATGCATATTTATCATATTTCATTCCTATGACTTACCTTTGCCTTGATAGAAACAAAGACCATTTTAAATCCAACTAACAGTCGTGAATTAGAGCATGTAAACTAGTAAGCCATTCACTCACTTACAGCAAGTTGCCGGCTCTTCATCACTTCCATCAGAGCAGTCCTGCCGAGAGTCACAGATGGATTCATTGGCGATGCACTGGCCACTGGTGCAAGGGAATTCCTCTGCAGCGCAAAGCTTTCTGGATTGGGTCTGTCCACAGGCATAGACCCAGAGATGATCAAGCCCAATAAAACTTCTCTGGCTCAAAAGAGTCCCTTCAAAAATAATCTTCAGGGGGAAAAAATCAATTTATGAGTTTATAGTCTCCTTAATCAGACAAAAAAAGCTAAAGAAGGTTGATAAAGACTAAATAGTTATTGAGAAAATGGATTTAACGCAACCAAGGCAATATATGACATATTCCTGTTTGTGAAGCCTAACCCACACTCTTAAGACTCAATGGAAACATCTGCTCCACTAAAAGCTCAGAGAAAGCTTCCAGGATCAGGCAAAACACAAGCATCCCACTTAACCATCAAAAATGTCCCCAACCTGTTACCTAATGATGACCTGTGGTCATCATCTTTACAGCTCTCTCTCTTTCATTTTCAAGGAAAATAAGAAAGTATCGTCATTACTTATAGAACAAGAGCTGTAACTGCATCTGCTTTATTTTTTAACTACTGAAATTAGTATTTGAATACATGAAGAAAAACGTCAGGCAAATAGAAACAGACACAATATAGGAATAGAAAAATGTGATGGAATAAACATAAAACTCTATTAAACTTCCATAAAAGAGTAATTCCTTTAATGAGAAAAGAAGTGCCATTAAAGTAAATAGACCTTGTTGTCACCAACTGAATTGCTAGCTTTCCTGGAGATAGGCAATATTAGCAAATGAAACAACCACACATCGCTGGTCAAGTATAAGTAATGTCAAAATATTAGTATTTTTTGAGTTTCTACCAAGAGCAATCGTTACTTAACACCAAAAGTGCAGAACTATCACAAATAACTAATTCTTTGCTGTTCAAAACATTAGCCATGAGTACAAAGGATTATTTTAATTCAAATTAATTAAAATAAAATAAAACTTAGTTATCTCAGTCATAGTAGCTAAATTTCAATTGTTCAATAGCCTAATATGATCAGTGGCTACCATATTGGGCATTAGATATAACGCATTTCCATGATGCACAAAGTTCTATTAAACAGCATTAAATGTGGTTAAAATTCTGTCCAGATACTAAGAATAAAAATTGACTTTCTTCAGTCTCATCTGGCTTAAAGTTCCTGAATGGATTTTCTTTTCAAAACATGAGGATAGGTGCAGAGGCTCACACCTGTAATCCTCGCACTTTGTGAGGGCAAGGAGGGCAAATCACTTGAGGTTAGGAGTTCAAGACCAGCCCGGCCAACATGATGAAACCCATCTTCACTAAAAATGCAAAAATTAGCTAGGTGTGGGGGCAAATGGCTGTAGTCTCAGCTGCTTGGGAGGCTGAGGCAAGAGAATTGCTTGAGCCCAGGAGGTGGAGGCTGTGGTGAGCCAAAATCATACCATTGCACTCCAGCCTGGGTGACAGAGAAAGACTCCATCACAAACAAACAAAACACGCGGGATATATATTTGGTTGTTCATTAAGAATTACTTATGATAAAATTTTCAGTTTACAATATGTCTAACAATCTCGTTTAGAAAATAATATTAAATTTAAATCATGTCCAATAATAAGAAAACTTTGTAAGCTGCTACATACTTTTTCCATAATGAATATCATACACGTGAAAATTACTAACCTATAGCTGTGTATTTTTGGGGCAGCAAGAGATCAAATATGCAGAAATGATATCAATTTGGGTTTCAAAAATTGATGGGTTTAAACTTAGATCCCAAGGCCTATAATTATTGAACAGCTAATTACATTTCATGCACTTGAGAACCTGAAATAACTCTCAAATTCATTTTCTTCACATTTTGCTTTGCTATGTCTTTGAGTTAAAACAAAATTTAATCTTCAGTTTATGGGGAAAAAAAACTTATTACCTGAGAAGTCACAAAAACAGATATCACTCTACAAAAATTAGTGTCAAAATGTTAACTCCATAGGCTGTGATAGGGTGTATGAACGGAGTATCACCATAAAGAAATGGAACTGGTTTCATGACCCACACATACAACCAGTCTCATCATCCTATACTCACACTCCAGCATAAATAAACTTACACATTCCATATATTATATTGGTGAAAAAGTAATTGAGGTTTTGGTCATTAAAAGGAATGGCAAGTCACAGTGGCAAAAGCTGCAATTACGTTTGCACCAACCTAATACGACACAAAGTGTCCATTTAATTTTTTAAGAGACAGCATTCCTATTCAGCCTATGTGTGTTTCATATATTTCTTGCTGTAGACAGAGTTATCCATGTGTCATAAAGATATGAATTATTGCATTCAAAAAATCTGCCTATACACGGCTAAATTTTAATACCAGTTCACTATTTATCTGCTTCCTAATGCAATTTGTTTCCCGGGGTGCAAAGCATGATGCTGAGGAGCAAGAAGAGAAGGCTATGGAGAATGAAGAAGCTGTGAACAAGAGTAGACACATTCTATTTCCTCTGCTATGGAAAATTTGGTCTGAGAAGGAACAATACAATTTAAAAAGTAGGCAATCGCTCTCCCCAAGTACACAAATATGCATCCCTAATTTAAATGCTAATTTAACTTTAGGAGCGTATGCATGATCAGTTTACTACTGCAAAGCTAAAACTTAAAGCATAATAAAAAAATACCTGTTTTTTTTTTCTTTCATACCTTAAATGTCTTCAGACCTTCTGGTATTAACACATCTGCTTTCACCCATTGGCTGTGAGTTGATGTGTTATATGTCCAAAATATTTCTTCTTCCTTTGATTTGAAGAGAAAGACACCACTCATTCCCCATATCCTAACGTCACATTTATATACATGCTTTCTTAACTACATTTTAGTAATTATTACCTTACCTGTATGATATAAAATACTAGGAAATCTAAAGACCTGGTAGTAAAAATGAAAAAGCTGCATATCATTTTTAAAAAATAATAAAATGAGGCATGTTTATGCAGTAAAGCTCCTTTTTATAGGTAAAGAGTATAAGGATGGAACAAAAATGTAGATGAAATCTTTAAAAAAAAAACAGTACTGCACTTCAAAAATAAAATTCTGAATAATAGTTAATAAAATCAGCAATTTAAATGTTGATCTCAATAACATTATTACATTTTGTAATATTGCCATGATATTAGAAAAGAAAAATATTACAGGCAAACATTTAATGTAAAGGTTAAAAATGTTATCAGATGCATTTTCTGCACAATTTCAATTTACACGAAATATTTTTTCCTATGGAAACATTTGTTCCAAGTTCCGAAAATACAGTTATTTTCTGAAAATTATAATCTTAATCTGGTCATTTTATCAAAGGCCTTTTTACATCTTTTAGAGAAATCTATGTCATGCACCTTTAAAATGGTCATTTTTCAGACTACAAAATGTATGTAAAATTGTTACTACATGCTATGAGTTTACTAACAAGCCTTTATTGCATTCAAAATATTTATCGAGTTTAAGAAACTCAATAAAAGTCTATGGTGAAACCCTATCTCCAATAAAAACACAAAAGTTAGCTGGGTGTGGTGGTAGGCTCCTGTAATCCTACTTGGGAGGCTGAGGCAGGAGAATCATTTGAACCTGAGAGGCAGAGGTTGCAGTGAGCCGAGATGGCGCCACTGCACTCCAGCCTGGGTGACAGAGCAAGACTCCATCTCAAAGAAATAAAAATAAAAATAAGAAGTCTATAAGGTATTTAAAAATTGTGTCTATGGCATGTATGGCATTGGTCTTTATGATTTATGATGCTTTTATGCTCTGAAATATTATCTTTTATTAACATTTTATTAGACATTCAAGTAAGTTTGACATTTCTCTCCTAAAATAGACCAAATTCTACATAATGTTTACACATAGAATGCGTTAATTTTTTTAGGTAACAATATGGTAAAAATGTGAAGAATGACCTAATTATGTCTCAGGTTGAGCTCTGAGACTGGCTCTGTTCCACTTTCTAGCATGAACCAGAAAACAGCCCTAAAAGGCAACATCTTATAATCCAAATGACACGTGATACCAATATTTGTCTCCCCACTCACTCAGCCTCACATATTTTATTCATGCCCAAGATTTTCGAAACCAAATCTATTTTCAACTTTGTCCTGTATCCTCAGATGCCTACTCCAAATTTCCAAGTCCTAAATACTTCAGAAGATAGTCTAAATCCATTGCAATTTACTTCATTACTTATTCATATCAACTGAAGATTTCCACAAGACGATGAGGCACATGGGGTGGACATATTTGTCAGCTGATAGCTTTCATGTGCATCAGGATGAACTACAGCTATAAAAAGTTCAGACAAGCACCTAATTTTGCTTCTACTTATTTCTTATGCAACTTCAGTTATTTAGCATGAAAACACTTACACCTTTCACAGATGCTTTTAGTGACACCTCTTGGCAAATTGCATTCATCACTTTCCCTGGCTTTCATTTTATGAAAATAATTTAAAGCTATTGTGCTCTTTTTTCACAGTGAGTAATAGATTCCCCTCTAATCCCCCTGAAGATAGATGCATTTACATTTTTTTGAAAAGTTAGCACTGTTCTTTCCAAACTTAAATGGATTTTCATAAGCCAAGTTCACAGTACACAGTCAATGAGGCCTAGATTTTTCTATACATTTTCCAGTCTGATGGCACTAGCAATGTTTTTTCAAAAGAATTTATTCTGACTAAATGAAATCAGGTTTTATTTTATTTCTGTTCTTACTCTCCCTCTTTCTAGTTACTTTTAACAGGGGTCAATGTAAGAAAGAAATCTGTAGCTCATCAAAGCTTTTTAAGTGATGTCTAATTTTCTTTTATCTTAAAATCAATCAGTAAATAAATTTTTAAAAAGTATATCTTTGCTCCCCCAGCCCAGGATCAATAAAGCTGATTTGCCTCTCAAGAAAAATATTTAACATATTTATTAACACTCTATCTCTTAGAGATACCAGTCTGTCCTTTTCTCTTTCGGTGAATAAATAAAGGATACCAAACTCAATGTTGTTGAGTTTCACTACTGTTGACTGCATCTTGGAATAAGATCATGTAATATGGTAAAGAATTACAAGTAAATTTGGTTGTAAAGAAAAATTATGTGTAAATTTTTTGGTAAATAATTACATGGAAACTCTACAAAGAACAAAAAGTAGGCTGTTGCTACAAGTATTATTTTATAGGTCATAGACACAGATCTAACCCAAGAATGGTTAGATGGTACAAACTAGAATTGCTACACACTTCAGCTGATTCTAACTAGTGAATTTTTTATTTACCAACTTGCCTTCACCTGAGTTTTTCACTTCTCAAGTTCTAACGTCCTCTGGAAATAAAGAAAACAACCCTCAGCATTTTTGCTAGATATTTCTTGGCTCACCTGCACACATTTATAGAGTAACAGATGTTCACAACAGAGAACAGCATTCTATTCATGGAAAGATGTAAATCGTCATTTTCATCAGGAACTATTTTTTTAATGATAGGTTTGGAGTCCTTTTAAGTGTGCGATAAAACATCGATTTGTGACTTAAATGTACTTTGATGCAGATTTTGCATCAGACTAACGTGTATAGAGGATAGCAATGTCAGAAAAGACAGGACATCTCACAGAATACGGTCTAAGGAATCAAGCATCAGTCAACACTCTCTAAATTGTATAACCATTTGGTGCTGATTAATACAGTAGATCATTTCCCTATGATTAACCTCTTTTCTTATAATATGAGAGACAGAATCTTATAATATGAGAGACAGAGCAGCGTTTTTTCCTATACTGTGGAATCAGCTGCCAGTTCGTTTTTATCTCTTATACTAATTCAAATGCTCACCCAAGTTTACGCTTTAGAACTCTTTGAGCATGTTGGACAAGGAAAGATAGAAGAATGAACTCACTCTACCCAGTGGGCCATTTTTCAAAATTCAAGTGACTCATTTGCTAATATTTAATCAATAATTACCAGTCTTAAAAATTATGTCTATCACTACCCAAACAAGTAGTTTTTAATCCCTATATTTATAGTTCTGATGATATACAGAGGCAATATCCAAAACAGATCACATCAGAGCTTCAAAACAGAGCTCACAATACAGAATCTCAGCTATCTCATTTTTATTAGATCTATAGTTTCTTTAATATACTTTCATGAATTCCGAAAATTTTATGAAATAATATTGGGCAAATTATCACATTAACTTTTGTACATGAGAGTGTCCCCTATGCTAGTTTCTTAATAACTCTTTTTAAAAGTACACCAAATAAAGTCAAGTTAAAGAATACCTAAAGCCTCTGCGCAAATGAGGAACTGAAACACAAGTTGCGAAGAGTTAGAAACTTCACTTATTGAAGGAATTCGAAATAAATGCAACTTTCTTCTTACCTTATTATTATACAGCCTTACTCTCAGGACACTGTTTTCCATAGAATAATAGAATTGAAGATGACAGCTCTTGCCCAAGCAATGATACACAGAGCTATTTAGGTAAGCCCTGCTGTCTAACTGGTTAACAGTAAAAGCATGCTTTGCCCCTACCCATATATAATAACCTGAAAGATAAAAGAAAAAAGAAGCAATTTAGGAAAACATTAGCTTCCTTCTGTCTTAATAAAATGATTACATTTCTGAAGTTTTCAAAACTGAAACAAGAACACAAATATTTTACCTAAAAGGATATAATGTTTTAAAATGATTACATCAACTACAAATAACAGGTTTTCATTTTTATGTTATTTCTAATACGTAGAGAAATCTCCTAATTTCTATTATCTAAATTTAATAATATCCTTTTATAAAAATGCAATAGTCTTAATAAAATAAATCTAAATATTCAAATTGCTACACCACCAAATTATTGTCATTTTCTTTTAAATATCACAATTCAATCCTGTTTAATTTTTTAATTTTTTATTTTTTTTATTTTTACTATTTCAACCACAAAGATTCTATCAATCCTTTTTCAATCAAGAATTTCTCTTCATCCTTCCCAGAATTCTTGCCCCTTTGGATGATTTTTTAAATTTACTTTTTATAAAAGATCCTTTATAGTTTTAGGAAATACGACTTAAAATGCCTTCTTTCTTAACAAGCCACATAGAAGTACGAGATATCTGCAGTCCTTTTAAACTTCACCCATGGATTTTATTTCACATAAAGATATGATAGATCAGTTTTTCCCATCTGATATTTAAACCCGATCTGAGCTGTTCTTGAATAACATGACAACACAGATCTATAAAGAGATTTCTATAATTTTGTAACTTTATTTTTTAAAATAAAGTCCAAAATGCTTCATGCTACTGAAAGAGCTTCATGTCCCGGACGTTTTTTAAAAAGAAGTCTCTAAGGAAACGCAAATATAACAAGAAAGGCAAAAACAAGAACATTAGACAAAATTTTGGCCTCAGGTATTTACAGCTACAGCAAATGCTAAGCATAATATAATCCTTAGCTGGATAAACATAATGTAAAAGCTCACATCATTTACATGAATTCCTTTTATACAGTAAATCATGTCTGACTTTCAACAAAAAATTACAAGGCATCTGCAAGGCAAAAAGCACAGTTTGAAAAGAATAACTCTAAAAAGTAAAGTCTACTAATCTTTTTGAAAACAGTCTGTGCCCTATTCACAATAGCAAAGACATGGAATCAACCCAAATGTCCATCAATCATAGACTAGATAATGGAAATGTGGTACATATACACCATGGAATACTATGCAGCCATAAAAAAGAATGAGATCATGTCCTTTGCAGGAGCATGGATGAAGCTGGAAGCCATTATCCTCAGCAAACTAATGCAGAAACAGAAAGCTAAGTACCACACATTCGCACTTAAAAGTGGGAGCTGAACAATGTGAACACAGACACAAGGAAGGGAACAACACACACTGGGGCCTGTTGAGGACAAATAGCTAATGCATGCTGGGTTTAATACCCAGGTAATGAGTTGACAGGTGCAGCCAACCACCATGGCACATGTTTACTTATATAACAAACCTGCACATCCTGCACACATTCCCTAGAACTTAAATAAAATAAATAACAACAATAATAATATTACTACTGCCCCTAAAAAATAAACAGTCTGCACAATAAAACATATAAATATAATGCTAAGGACAGCCAAAACTAATTACATTTATAAGCTGTACAAAAAATGAAATTAAATTTCATACAATTCTAATACATTCTATTAAAAACCACATTAAGATGCGCTAGGAAATAAATGAGAAGATATTAGCAAGTAGAAACCTAAAACAAAAATAAATTAAGACATTAAAATTAAATGCCCAATAGGCAGAATATAACCTAGACTGGCCATAGTGTCAAAGAGAAAATTCATGTACCAGAAGCCCTGAAATATAACTCAAAATAGAGGAAATTACATAGAAAATAAAAAGGAGCAGTCAAGTTATAGAGTGTGTACATTAGTTGTGTTTAATAGAAACTCAAGATGAAAAGCTTAAAGGGAGTAAAAGAGAATTACTTGAATACAATAACAGACAACTTCTGCAAGTGATGACATATGTGCATTCTGAGTATTAAAAAAAAATTAAACATATACTCATTCCTGTACTCATCATACTGAAATTTTCAAATATGAAAGATAAAGAAACATTTTTAAAATCCACATTAAACTAAAAAAGCATTAGATGCACTCAGACCTCACAATCACTACAGTACATATCAGGGGCTAAAGAGGGAAAATCACCATGTACTTAGAAATTAAAAAAAAAAAAAAAAACTTTTATTCTAAAATTATATGAAAAAAAGGGAAAAAAAGAGCCAGCAGGCTTAACAAAAAAGAAAGCCTTTTAATTCTTTTCCTTTTTATTCACACAATAACTAATAACTCCTGAAGAAAATAATAGATAAATTATTATTTAGAAGTGAGACCAATTTTAAAACATTCTAAGTTTACAGATACTATGGGAGCTCATCACCATAGATCTTTTCTAAACGAAAGAACAATTGATTGAAGAGAACCTTTGCAAGGGGATAAGGCAACCAAGAAGGAAAGCATAAAATCTAAAAAACAATGGTAAGAAAAATAATGAAATATATAATTATCATAATTATTAGTATCATAACAAGATATTGACTTTAAAACTCTTTAAAATGTTCAACTGTAGCTCAGGACCAAAAAAATTAAATGGTAGTTTGGGGTACCAACAAGGTCTTTTTCATGTTCAAGAAGGCAGAAATACTAAAGCACTTGAGGTTTTGTTATTTCAACAAAGAAATTTCATATAAAGAATATATCCTAAAAATTAATAGTCATAACAATAAGATATATAAATTAAAGCTTCCAGATCAGTGAGAAAAAAAATTTAATAATACCCCCCAGAAAAGGAAAGAAATTTAATATGTTAGCAAGAAGAAGAAACTTATTGACAACATGGCAGTGATTTAAATAAATAAATAAATAAAAAGCTAGCAGGCTCAACCAGGCATGATGGCTCATGCCTGTAATCCCAGCACTTTGGGATGCTGACGTGGGCAGATCACTTGAGGTCAGGAGTTCAAGACCAGCCTGGCTAACATGGTGAAATCCTGCCTCTACTAAAAATTAAAAAATTAGCCGGGCGTGGTGGTGCAATCCTGTAGTCCCAGCTACTTGGGAGGCTGAGGTAGGAGAATAGCTTGAACCCAGGAAGCGGGTGGTTACAGTGAGCTGAGGTCTCGCCACTGCATTCCAGCCTGGGTGACAGAGTAAGACTCCAACTCAAAAAAAAAAAAAAAAAAAGAGCTAGCAGGAGTAACAAAAAAAGGCTTTTAATACTTTTCCTTTTTGTTCACATAACACACAATATCTAATAACTCCTGAAGAAAATAATAAAACTTAAAGTTAACCTAGTACAATTTTTCTTTTACACTGTTGGAAACATAATTGTTCTTTTCACCTTCAGCTCCTACGGCAGGATATATTTTCAATAAAACAAACTCAGTATGTTCACCGAGACACCCTATGTAATGTCTTATAACTAGCAACCATAAGGCAGAATTCTAAAAGTATTTCATAAAAGATATTGTTTCTTTTATACCTTCATCATCACCTCTTTGATCCTGCTGAGGTGTGGATTCTAATGCAGGGACCTCTCTTGCTTTTGTGCGCATCCAGGAAATGTGGGCAGCAGATGCTTCTGACATCCACTCACACATGTCAAATTCAAACCCACAGGCCTGACATGCTGAAAGGGGGAGAAAAAGATCTTGGTAATCTATTAGTCTGCTAGAGTGGCTGCTTAACCAGGTTATGTGTTATAATCAACCACAAGGTTTAAACACACATACACACTAGCACACACTTATTCATATATGGAAGTTGGGATTCAAAAAGCCTTAGAGAGTAGTACCAGAAATTCTATTTTGCAAAAAAAGCTCAGTTGATCCACATGTACAATATCCTCTCAAGTGAAAACCATTGCCATAAAAAAGGAGATTCCTAGTTTTTCTTGTATGTGTCACTGCTTCAGTCATAATATGTTTTAATTTTTTTAAGACAGTCTTCTGATTTTTTAATGATCGTCATTATAACTGGCATGAGGTGGTATCTCAGTGTGGTTTTGATTTGCATTACTCTAATGACCATTGATGATGAGCTTTTTATCATGTGTTTGTTGGCTGCATAAATGTCTTGAGAAGTGTCTGTTCATATCCTTTGCCCACTTTTTGATGGAGTTGTCTGTTTTTTTCTTGCAAACTTGTTTAAGTTCTTTGCAGATTCTAGACATTAGATCTTCGTCAGATGCGTAGATTGCCAAAAGTTTTTCCCATTCTGTTTGTTGCCAGTTTGCTCTAATGATAGTTTCTTTTGCTGTGCCAGAGCTCTGAAGTTTAATTAGATCCCATTTGTCTATTTGGCTTTTGCTGCCAATGCTTTCAGCATTTTAGTCATAAAGTTCTTGCCTATGCCTATGTCCTGAAAGGTATTGCCTAGGTTTTCTTCTAGGGTTTTTATGGTGTTAGGCCTTATGTTTAAATCTTTAATCCATCTTGAGTTAATTTTGTATAAGGTGTAAGGAAGGGATCCAGTTTCAGTTTTCTACATATGGCTAGTCAGTTTTCCCAACACTATTTATTAAATAGGGAATCCCTGGCCAGGCGCATTGACTCACACCTGTAATCCCAGCACTTTGGGAGGCCGAGGCAGGTGAATCATGAGGTCAAGGGATCGAGACCATCCTGGTCAACATGGTGAAACCCCGTCTCTACTAAAAATACAAAAAATTAGCTGGGCATGGTGGTGCATGCCTGTAATCCCAGCTACTCAGGAGGCTGAGGCAGGAGAATTGCCTGAACCCAGGAGGCGGAGGTTGCGGTGAGCCGAGATCACACCATTGCACTCCAGCCTGGGTAACAAGAGCAAAACTCCATCTCAAAAAAAATAAATAAATAAATAGGGAATCCCTTCTCCATTGCTTGTTTTTGTCAAGTATGTCAAAGATCAGATGGTTGTACATGTGTGGTGTTACTTATGAGGCCTCTGTTCTGTTCCATTGGTCTATATCTCTGTTTTGGTACCAGTACCATGCTGTTTTGATTACTGTAGCCTTGTAGTATAGTTTGAACTCAGGTAGAGTAATGTCTGCAGCTTTGTTTTTGTTTTGTTTTGTTTTGCTTAGGATTGTTTTGGCTACATGGACTCTCTTTTAGTTCCATATGAAGTTTAAGGTGGTTTTTTCCAGTTCTGTAAAGAAAGTCAATAGTAGCTTGAAGGGGATAGCATTGAATCTATAAATTACTTTGGGCAGTATGGCCATTTTCAAGGTATTGACTCTTCCTAACCATAAGCATGGAACATTTTTCCATCTGTTTGTGTCCTCTCTTATTTCCTTGAGCAGTGGTTTGCAGTTCTCCTTGAAGAGGTCCTTCCCATGCCTTGTAAGTTGTATTCCTAGGTATTTTATTCTCTTTGTAGCAATTGTAAATGGGAGTTCACTCATGATTTGGCTCTCTGTTTGTCTATTATTGGTGTATAGGAATGCTTGCAATTGTTGTACAGTGATTTTGTATCCTGAGACTTTGCTGAAGTTGCTTATCAGCTTAAGGAGACTTTGGGTTAAGACAATGGGGCTTTCTAAATATGCAATTATGTCATCTGAAAACAGGGACAATTTGACATCCTCTCTTCCTATTTGAATACGCTTTATTTCCTTCTCTTGTCTGATGGCTCTAGCCAGAACTTCTAATACTATGTTGAATAGGAGTGGTGAGAGCGGGTACCCTTGTCTTGTGCCAGTTTTCAAATGGAATGCTTTCAGTTTTTGCCTATTCAGTATGATCTTGGCTGTGGGTTTGTCATAAATAGCTTTTATTATTTTAAGATACATTCCATTGATATTTAGTTTATTGAGAATTTTTAGCATCAAAGCCTGTTGGATTTTGTCATAGGCCTTCTCTGCATCTATTGAGATAATCATGTGGTTTTTATCTTTCGTTCTGTTTATGTGATGGATTACATTTATAAATTTGTGTATGTTGAACTAGCCTTGCATCCCAGGGATGAAACCTTCTTGATCATGATGGATAAGCTTTTTGATGTGCTGTTGGATTCGGTTTGCCAGTATTTTATTGAAGATTTTCACATCAGTGTTCAACATGGGTAAGGAAACAGATGCTGGAGAGGATGTGGAGAAATAGGAATGCTTTTACATTGTTGGTAGGAATATAAATCAGTTCAACCATTGTGGAAGACAGTGTGGCGATTTCTCAAGGATCTAGAAATAGAAATACCATTTAATCCAGCAATCCGATTACTGGAATATACCCAAAGGATTATAAAACATTCAATCATAATGACACATGCACATGTATGTTTATTACAGTACTGTTCACAATAGCAAAGACTTGGAACCAACCCAAATGCCCATCAATGACAGGCTGGATAAAGAAAATGTGGCACATAAACACCATGGAATACTATGCAGCCATAAAGAAGGATGAGTTCATATCTTTTACAGGGACATGGATGAAGCTGGAAATCATCATTCTCAGCAAACTGACACAAGAACAGAAAACCAAACACTGCATGTTCTCACTCATAAGTGGGAGTTCAACAATGAGAACATATGGACACAGGGAGGGGAACATCATACACGGGGGCCTTTCAGGGGCTGAGGAGCAAGGGGAGGGATAGCTGGGGGTCGGGGATTGGGAAGAGATAACGTTAGGAAAAACACCTAATGTAGATGATGGGGAAATGGATGCAGCAAACCACCATGTCACGTGTAAACCTATGTAACAAACCTGGACGATCTGCACATGTACCCAGAGCTTAAAGTATAATAAAAGAGAGAGAGAGAGAGAGACAGGGTCTCACTCTGTCACCCAGGCTTAATGCAGTGGTGCAATTATAGCCCATTGTAGCCACAAACTCCTGGGCTCAAGTAATCTTCCAGCCTCAGCCTCCCAAGTAGCTAGGACCACAGGTACAGGCCACCATGCCCAGCCTTTTTATTTTTTTATTTTTTGCAGAGATGGCATCTTGCTATATTACCCAGGCTAATTTTGAGTCCTTGGCCTCAAGCAAACCTCTCATCCCAACCTCCCAAAGTGTTGGGATTACTGGTATGAGCCACCATGCCCGGTCAACAATTTTTTAAACGGCTTCATATTTTACCTTATCTACTTTACGGGGTTAGGTTAGTTTAAATTATTTACTATTCATAATCACACTGAAATTTTATACAAGAAAGATTGCACATAATTCCAAGATGGCTTTAATTGTTGTTTACAAAATGACATTGTGTTAAATTGATGAATTTAGTATACCACCACAGCCTCCCAATGACACTCCAGCTAAAACTGGGACGCTAATGTTAACAAAGGTTGGCATGTACATATTCCCGCAAGTGGTCTCCGAGTCTCATATATTGCATACACACCAGAAAAGTGAGTATCTCAATTTAACACTTACATCTCAATCCTTCATATGTAGCATCAAATCTGCAGAGGTCTGTATCTGGATGGCAAAGTTCCTGCTCAGCATTCAATGCTTCTTGACATGGTAAAATTCCATCTGTTAAATTTAAAGATTGGCAAGAAGTGAAATGCAGGTGCAACTGGAAAGATTTAAGTATTTTTTAAAATGTTAATATTCATTCTACAAAGCACTCCGTAACTAACTTCTCTCTATGGTATCATCACACTTTAGGTAAACCTAACTCTCTCTCTCTCTCTCTCTCTCACACACACACACACACACACACACACGCGCACACACACACATGCACACACACTCACAAAGAGACAGAGAAAAACAGAATAAAACAACCATGCCAATGCTTCCATATTTTATTCATATCTCCATAGTGACTGGCAAGCCCCAAAGGCAAACCTTCGCAGGACTAAAAATCTCCCCTAATGTTGGAACTCAGAGTCTACTATTAGGACAGTTGTACATGTGTCAAATTTAAGATATGGTGTCCCCTTAAACCTGGAAGGTGGATCTGCCCTGGAACTGCTTTCTCTGGAGCTTTCTCAAATTGTGCTTGTTGGCTGGCCACGGTGGCTCACACCTGTCTTCTCAGGCATGGGCCAGCCTTTGGTAGCCCAAGGCAGGTGGATCACTTGAGGTCAAAACTTGAGAACAGCCTGGACAATATGGCGAAACCCCTTCTCTACTGAAAAATACAAAAATTAGCCGGGCATGGTGGTGTGTGCACTCATAATCCCACCTACAAGTGAAGCTGAGGCAGGAGAATCGCTTGAACCCAGGAGTCAGAGGTTGCAGTGGGCTGAGATCATGTCACTGCACTCCAGCCTGGGTGCAAGAGTAACACTCCATCTCAAAAAAAAAAAAAAGTGCTTTTTTTTGTTTGTTTTCTCTTCTCCATGACCTCCCAATACAAAACTTGAAGGTAGACTAGGAGTCCTTCCTGCCCCATGCCACCTGCACACAATTCTCCCTCTGACCTTCCTAAATATCCAAGCTTTGACTCTCATGACGTCAAATGGCACCCCTCAATGTTCAGCTTGTTACAGTCACCTACAGACACTGTAGGTGAGCCCTAAGGGTGCCCTGTGCCTCTAGCTGTGAAGATTTTAACTCTGAGCTCACTGTCATTCTTTGTCATTTCGATATTCACTTTCATTTGCTTCTGAGTTTCTTGATTTCTTCTTGATGATGATCTTGAAGGAGAACTTTGATGAAAAACGACATCTGCCACCACCCCTCAAAAGAAGTATTATCATTACTAATGATGATAATGTTTCCTTGTCTTAATTTCAAGTGGTCCACTCCCTAACCATCATCTCTATCTTTCCAGCTCATTTCTTTTTATATTTCTAATAATATTTCAAATGCACCAGGCTCTGTAAGCCCAGGGTCCTAAATTCTTTTCAATTATTTCCCTCACCTATCGTGTCTTCATTTCCTTTATTACAGATGTTAGACAAGCAATCACTCCCTGGCCCTGCTCATACTTCTCTATACTCTCATGGCAAAAACTCTAGAAAATACATCCCTCTACCTACACTAGCCTGTTATCTGTGCAGCTGAATGGAGGGAAGAAATGTAGGCTGATATGGCTTCATATTCATGACACTCACTCCATGGCATCATGGTGATCCTCATTCTTTCCTTTTCTGCATTCCTAGAGAACTATTCAAACCTTTCTATTCTCTCTTTTATAACTTCCAGCTTTTCCTTCCCTATCATCATTCTCAGCTTATCACCTTGCTTCACATTTCACTGTGAACATGAGAAAATCAAAAGAACTTTACAAGTCCCATCATCAGTGTCACTGACCAGCCATCCACATGCTTTGCTTCCTGTAGAACCAGGTAAGCTCTCTATGCCCTTCTCTGGATAACACCTTCCATTTAGACAGAAATTTCATCTCTGCTTGGCTATTTAAGGAATCATGCTGCCAATTTCCTCTCCTCTCATTTACAACATTTTCTCTTTCTCTACACGATCATTTCCATGTGGGCCTAAAAGGCCAAAACTTCAACCACCTTAGAAAAACATTGTCCAGACCTGACAACCTTCTCCAACTAACTTCCAAAGTTCTGCCTATTTTCACACTGACTCCAACACCAGTTCTTTTCCCTCCTATTTTCTCCTGAACCTATGTCAATAACAGTTTTTTTTAATTGAGATAAAATTCACAAAAAATATCATTTACCATTTCCATTTTATCTATTTTAAAGTGTAAAAGTAAGCCAAGCATAGTGGCTCACGTCTGTAATCCCAGCACTTTGGGAGGCTGAAGCAGATGGATCACTTGAGTTCAGGAGTTTGAGACCAGTTTGACCAACATGGCGAAACCCCATCTCTACTAAAAATACAAAAATTAGTCAGGCACGGTGGTGTGCACCTGTAATCCCAGCTACTCAGGAGGCTGAGGCAAGAGAATGGCTTGAACCTGGGAGGCAAAGGTTGCAGTGAGCCATGACTGCACCACTGTGCTCCAGCCTGGGCAACACAGCAAGACTCCACCTCAAAAAAAAAAAAAAAAAAAAAAAAGGCCAGGTGCAGTGACTCAGCCTGTAATCCCAAATGTCTCAACACTTTAGAAGGCGAAGGTGGGTGGATTACCTGAGGTCAGGAGTTCAAGACCAGCCTAGCCAACATGGTAAAGCTCTGTCTCTACCAGAAATGCAAAAATTAGCCGGGTGTGATGGCACATGCCTGTAGTCCCATTTACTCAGGAGGCTGAGGCAGAAGAATTGCTTGAACTTGGATGGCAGACATTGCAGTGAGCTGAGATCGTGCCACTGCACTCTAGCCTGGATGACAAGAGTGAAACTCTGTCTCAAAAAAAAAAAAAAGTGTACAATTCAGTGGCTTTTATTAAATTTGCAATGCTGCGCAATCATCAAACTACCTAATTCCAATGCATAGAACAAGATACCGCTATAATCATCACCTGTACCCACCAGTCACTTCACCATTCTCTCTTCTCCCTCCTGCCCTGACAGCCACTGTATCTGCTTTCTATCTCTAAGGATTTGCCGACTCTGGCTATTTCACATAAATGGACCCATGCAGGTTGTAGCCTTTTGTGCTTGGCTTCTTTCACTCAGCATAATGTGTTTGAGGTTCATCCATGTTGTAGCATGAATCAGTATTTTATTCCTTGTTCGTTGGTTGGTTGATCACTTTTACCACTCCCCTGAAACTGCATATATCAAGATGCACATCTATACTGCTAAATCTCATATTCAATTTTTTCTCATCGACACACTTGACATATCGGTAATATTGAACAGAGCTAATTACTCCCTTTTTCTTGAAATATTTTCTTCACCAGGCTTTTGCATAAAACTCTCTTCTGGTTTTTCTGATTATGTTACCAGCTTTTTTTTTCTCAATCTCTCTTGTGGTTTTTCCCTCATCTGCTCAACTGCCTCAAAGCTCAGTCCTTCCATCTCTTCCTCTCTACATACCCACACCTTGTTAATATCAGTCACATGCTGTTAAACCATTTCCTATATGCTGATGATTCATAAAATTGTACCTAAGGCTGAAAATTTTCCAATACTCCAACTCTACACTCCAGAAGTATCTTGCTACTAACTTAAGCCTCTTCCCTTGGGTCACAGAAATAGGTCTAAATCTCAAAACCACCTTTGCAAAAGTATGACTGAGACAGTGAAAGAGATCTGACTTAATCAACTCCATCTTGCTTCTAACTTCCAAGCTGTCCTTGCTCATTCCTGGGTGTAGGCTGCACTAACTTTGGAGGGAACTTAGTTTATAGTTTAAACAAAGATGGTAACAGCTTTTTGCCAAAGCAGATCCCCTTCTTGCCTGGGGACTAGATTGCCTTTGTAGGACTAACATTAGCCACAAGATTAGAAATTACGGTTTAGGACTCATGCAGCTGGAGGCTACAAGATTCTGACCCTCCCCAAACTGCTCCTAAGAACAGTGCTTGACATATTTTGCAGACCCTGCTTGATGGTTCAACTGGTACCATCCAGATCAATAAACTGGCTCATCGGATCTTGCGGCCCCCAACCAGGAACTGACTCAGTGCAAGAAGACAGCTTCAACTTCCCGTAATTTCATCTCTGACCAATCAGCACTCCTGGCTCACTGGCTTTCCCTGACCCACCAAGTTATCCTTAAAAACTCTGCTCCCTGAATGTTCAGGGAGACTGATTTGAGTAATAATATAACTCCAGTCTCTTGTGCAGCCGGCTCTGCCTGAATTACTCTTCTTCTATTGCAGTTCCCCTGTCTTGATGAACCGGTTCTGTCTAGACAGTGGGCAAGATGAACCACTTGGGCAGTTACGATCTCAACAAACTTCTGATGTTTCTCAGCCTAAACTTTATCTTCCCACAGCCTATCTTATCCCAGCTAATGAAACCCCATCCTTCTAGTTCAGGTGAGAAATTTGGAGTCTTCCATGACTCATCTTTCTCCCTCTCTCTCTCTCTCTCTCTCTCTCCCTCCAAATATGCAACCCATCAGCCAATTTCTGCATTATCTATAAAACGCATCCAGAATCTAACTACATCTTATGACCTCCACTACTGCTATCAACTCTGGCTCAGGGAACATCATCTCTTTCTCAATTGTCGTAATAACTACTTATTTTGTCTACCTGTGGTTGTCCTGGCTCCACTATAATCTTAGATATGTGAGTCAGATAATGTCTCCACTGCTCAAAACCTTCCATGGGTTTTCATCCTATATAAAGTAAACGTCAATGCCTTACTATGATCTTCCTCATATAAACCAAGCTTACTGTATCCTTGAGGCCTTTACATTCATAGCTCAATCTGTAAACAAAAAATAAAATTCTAAGCCCCCAACTATCTGAATGAACCCCTCCTCTCATCCATGGGTATTCCAAAGTTAACCTGAAAAACTAGTTCAGGCCGTGATGAGAAAGCAAAGCCAGAAATGCCTCATTATACCCTTCATTTTGCAATTAGTGGTAGAACAAACTAAGTCTGATAAGAAATATCTATGGTCTATCCTCTCTGAAGCTTGCTACCTGGAGGCTTCATCTGCATGATAAAACCTTGGTCTCCACCACCTCTTACTGTAACCTAGACATT